AAATACTAATTACACCGTCCGCCGCCCAGCCGTTCAGGAAACGCAAGTCTTCACCCGGCGGAAAGATAGACCTATTTTTAATACTCTCAAGCAACCAGAAACTACATTTAACTGAGGCGCCGCATCTGAAGCGGATCCCGACAATTATGCCGGGATCCGCCCAGCTGCGTGACTGACAGCTGGCTCTGCCTATCTAGAGGCAGAGCCAGCTGTACCCGCCCCCTCCCCCGTCCGTTCCGCCAGTCAGCTCTGGCGGATCGGAGCGGGGAGGGGGGAATCCAGCCACTCCCCTGTCACGGCAGAGAGCCGTGACAGGATCGAGAGGTGAGTGAACGCCGGTATGTGTTCGCTCACCTCCCGATCTACTGAGCCGACCTGTGACAGTCTCATTGTCACAGGTCGGCTAGAACTATGAGGAGAGTGAAAAGCACTCACCTCATAGTTCTCATTTAAACGTTGAGCTTTGCTAAAAATCAATGTCAAGTGTCAACCCAGTTTACTAATGATTTTGAGCTTTGCTGCTGTGCTGATTGAATTCTCTGACGAGCTACAGCCACATAAAACACAGGGAAAAACCCCCAAATATCCGACAAATGTTCTTACCAGCTGTGAATTCTTACCACTCAACCTTATAAAAGTCAGGAAAATGAGGATAAAGTATCACACAGGGAATTTCAGGTGTTTCCAGTTATGGCCAAGACTTGTGTGGGGAGAAAACCATGGAAGAGCAAGAACTATGGGCATGTGTACATCCCTCAGACAGAGCTGGATGTTGAGGAAGGAATGAAGTGTGACAAAGTGAGCAGATGCAAGAAACTGCAATGGACTTAAGAGAGGGATACTGATGAATTGGGATGAGCAGGAGACGGAAGAGACATAGCAGTGAAGTTTCAGGAGTGGTGAGGGAGTGCTCAGGGCTGGTATAAAACAGAGCACAGACCAGCTTAAGCGTGGTTGCCACAGGATGTGAGTAGTAGATGTCAGTGAAGATGACTTCATGCCTGGCAGCTTTTGGATGCTCCTTGCTGTTGTGTCCACACTGGAAAGATGGAACGTTCTTCAAAGTTGTATATCTTCTATCATCCTGTATTATCCTCATCCAGACAGGAGTCTTCAGTCACCCGCAGTGCCTGGATTCTGGACCCCCATTTAAACCCCCTGTACACTTGGAGTTTTGCTCCTTGTATGAAGAGTTTGGATGCTGTGACCAGGAAAAGGACAACATCATAGCAGAGAGATACTGGTCAGTCATGGACAACTATGACTATAAGGAGCAGGAGCTGTGTGGAGACTATGTCAAGAACATTCTATGCCAGGTGAGTTCTGTTGCTCTGAATGGTCAGCCCACACAGAGTATTTCAGTTTTGAGTGGATGATAATGGGTTGAGCCACTAAATATTTCTTGGGAAATGTGGCAGTGAGATCTCTGCACCTGAGTTTTACATTTTGTGTAACAGCTTTGCCCTTTAGGAGGAATCCTAATCCCAAGCAAGGATTTTTTTTTTTTACTTTCTATAGTTTACTATACAGCCTGTGGAAATTAAGAGACTCCATGGCCGGAGAAATCAGATGGAAAGATATGAAACTAGTTTATGATGCAATCAATGTTCATCCATAATTGAAGTACCCATTTTGGGTGACATAACCCTTATAAACACAACGTAATTAATCTGTACATGCGTGTCTCATATATGATAATCGAGGTCCATGATTCCAGCTGGGTTTGAAGTAAGAAATTCTGGTTAAATGTGTTTTACTTTTACATAGACAGGCAGAAAGGCAGGCAGATAGATAGATAGATAGATATGGATGGATAGAAAGACATATACTGTATATGATTAATACAGTATACTGTAAAGAAAACGAATGAGGAATAGAGACAGAAACAATGAGTGAGAGTGAAAGAGGGAGGGAGACTCCCTTTATTATGATAATAATAATAAACCATAATAAAGAGAGAGAGAGAGAGAGAGAGAGAGAGAGAGATAATTTTTTTTTTGGTATGGGTGAATGAATGGAAAGACTAAAAGACAGACAGATAGAAAGATAGATATGAGATAGCTTGATAGATAGAGTATAGATGGAAGGACAGACAGACAGGTAGAAAGATGAGTAGAGGATAGAAACATTTCAGATAGATAGACAACGTGTTGTTGGAAACTAAACAAAAATCGTTTGTGCTGCAAATTGTAGGAAGTTTGTCTCCAAAATATAAACCAGATCCTTCCGTAGATCAATAGGGAATCTCTGGATTTTTTTTTCTTTTTGCCCTAAACTGCCCTACATATGTACACAACATGAGAGAAGGATTTTGTCACACTGACACATGTGTACATATGATTTTCCACAGCAGTGCGAGCCTAAGGTGCCCATGCACCTTACGAATATCGGCTGTTTTTAGTTTGCGATTGCGTTTTTGTCCAATATTCGTAAGGTTGATGGGCAGTGTACAACCGCAAATACTGTACAATCGTACGGCTTTTGACTTTCCAGCAGGTTAGAAAACTTCTGTGGAATCGTACGAAATTAGCAAGATTGGTGGAGTTTTGTTACGTCAAAAATCGCACGATTAACACTGCTCATGCGCAAACGAAAATCCGTGACATCAATAACGAAATTCGGCCAAGTGATTTTGCTAACGACCGCTAATTGAACAGTGTGGTGGTCGGGGCAGGATGGGGCCGCCGTACCAAAATTGTACGACGGTTCGATCATCGGACGAAAATATTTGTCTGATAATTGCAAGGTGTATGGCCAGCTTTAGAGAGGGTTCAGCGGTATTAACAGATAACTAGCAGTTTGCAATTGATGGTATACAGACAGACAGCAGTCTCTACGCTCCATGGTCAGACAAACAAACAGAGAGACAGACAGATAGATGGAAGGACAGACAGACAGACAGACGGAAGGACAGACAGACAGACGGAAGGACAGACAGACAGACGGAAGGACAGACAGACAGACGGACAGCCGACAGACAGACAGACGGAAGGACAGACGGACAGACAGACAGACAGACGGAAGGACAGACGGACAGACAGACGGACGGACAGACAGACAGACAGACGGACCGACAGACAGACGGAAGGAAAGACAGACAGACGGAAGGACAGACAGACAAACGGAAAGACAGACAATCGAAAGACAGACAGACGGAAGGACAGACAGATAGATAGCTAGACAGATAAACATATGGATAGATAGATAGATAGATAGATAGATAGATAGATAGATAGATAGATAGATAGATAGATAGTAGGGTTGCACAGATACTTTTCGAGTACCGGTACAGATACTTGGCATTTTCATGAGAACTACCAGGGTTGCAGCTGGAACCTGGCTCCACCACTGTCCTGAAATCATTTGTCTGTATTGTTTTAGAAAAACTGTCACATGACAATAAACAAAAATGTATCAGTACTTGTATCTGTAAGTACTTGGGCAAGTATCAGTACTTGGAAAAATGGTATCTGTGCATCCCTTTATATATGTTTATAAAAACAAAATAGTACATTAAACAGAGATGTACAAATCCCAGGAGCTCCGTGTGCTCCTTACAAATGACAGCTGCCTCCTAATTTTTGAATTTTTCTCTAGTCTAGTCCTGGAGCTCAAAAGTATCGGTACATGTACTCGTACTTGTACCGAGTACTGTACTTAGTATCTGTGCAACCCTAATAGATAGATAGACAGACGGAAAGACAGACGGAAGGACAGACAGAAAGACGGAAGGACAGGCAGACAGACAGACGGAAGGACAGGCAGACAGACAGACGGAAGGACAGACAGACGGAAGGACAGACAGACAGACAGACGGAAGGACAGACGGAAGGACAGACAGACAGAAGGACGGACAGACGGAAGGACAGACAGACGGAAGGACAGACGGAAGGACAGACGGACGGACAAACAGACAGACGGAAGGACAGACAGACAGACGGAAGGACAGACAGACAGACGGACAGCCGACAGACAGACAGACGGAAGGACAGACGGACAGACAGACAGACAGACGGAAGGACAGACGGACAGACAGACGGACGGACAGACAGACAGACAGACGGACCGACAGACAGACGGAAGGAAAGACAGACAGACGGAAGGACAGACAGACAAACGGAAAGACAGACAATCGAAAGACAGACAGACGGAAGGACAGACAGATAGATAGCTAGACAGATAAACATATGGATAGATAGATAGATAGATAGATAGATAGATAGATAGATAGATAGATAGATAGATAGATAGTAGGGTTGCACAGATACTTTTCGAGTACCGGTACAGATACTTGGCATTTTCATGAGAACTACCAGGGTTGCAGCTGGAACCTGGCTCCACCACTGTCCTGAAATCATTTGTCTGTATTGTTTTAGAAAAACTGTCACATGACAATAAACAAAAATGTATCAGTACTTGTATCTGTAAGTACTTGGGCAAGTATCAGTACTTGGAAAAATGGTATCTGTGCATCCCTTTATATATGTTTATAAAAACAAAATAGTACATTAAACAGAGATGTACAAATCCCAGGAGCTCCGTGTGCTCCTTACAAATGACAGCTGCCTCCTAATTTTTGAATTTTTCTCTAGTCTAGTCCTGGAGCTCAAAAGTATCGGTACATGTACTCGTACTTGTACCGAGTACTGTACTTAGTATCTGTGCAACCCTAATAGATAGATAGACAGACGGAAAGACAGACGGAAGGACAGACAGAAAGACGGAAGGACAGGCAGACAGACAGACGGAAGGACAGGCAGACAGACAGACGGAAGGACAGACAGACGGAAGGACAGACAGACAGACAGACGGAAGGACAGACGGAAGGACAGACAGACAGAAGGACGGACAGACGGAAGGACAGACAGACGGAAGGACAGACGGACGGACGGACGGACGGACAAACAGACAGACGGAAGGACAGACAGACAGACGGAAGGACAGACAGACAGACAGACTGAAGGACAGATGGAAGGACAGATGGAAGGACAGACAGACAGACGGAAGGACAGACGGAAGGACAGACAGAAGGACAGACGGAAGGACAGACAGAAGGACAGACAGAAGGACAGACGGAAGGACAGGCAGACAGACGGAAGGACAGACAGACAGACAGACGGAAGGATAGACAGACAGACGGAAGGATAGACAGACAGACGGAAGGATAGACAAACAGACGGAAGGATAGACAGACAGACGGAAGGATAGATAGATAGATAGATAGATAGATAGATAGATAGATAGATAGATAGATAGATATGGAAAGAGAGCTAGATAGATATGGAAAGACAGATGGAAGGATAGATAGATAGAAACACCACTAAATTAACAATTAGAAACGTAGAACATGTAAGTGCCGCGCCCTCCAAAACGTTGTGCTCATAATGTGTGATCAGTGAAAATGAAAACATGACAACGTGTAAACTATAAAATGAAACAAAGCAGGTATAATGTGTCAATAAACACCAACGTTTATTAAAGTTTATCCGTGGCGGAGGAGCAAAGACTGAGTCACATGTGGATGAGTTTTCAAAGGATCATTTGGATTCACTCATATGAACTTTGTTTTTGATTTCACATTGTAATTGGAAATCTTATTGTTTATTGATTTCTCGCTGTTTTTTTGGAGTCAGTTGTTTAAGAGCAATTCATAGTCACTTATCACATAGTTTGCTGAACATGAACTTTGATGTTTATTGACACATTATACATGCTTTGTTTAAAGTGACATTAAACCCTCAGATTTTTTAACATAAAACAATACTGTAATGTGCTCCTTACTGTAATCCATGGTAGTTTCCCTTCTCTTTGCTGCTCTTCCTTTTAAATATGTATCTGTTCTCATGCTTGGAGAGAACTTCCCTTTTCAGCTCAGGGCCTCTTCCTGTAGTGCTGGCTCAGGTTACAGCCTATACACAGACACCGTGTGAGACAAGGCAGTCTGCTGAAAAGGGAAGTTCTCTCCAAGCATGAGAACAGATACATATTTAAAAGGAAGAGCAGCAAAGAGAAGGGAAACTACCATGGATTACAGTAAGGCGCACATTACAGTATTGTTTTATGTTAAAAAATCTGAGGGTTTAATGTCACTTTAATTTCAATTTTCACTGATCACACACTATTACACCCCATCTAAGGAGAGTGCGGCACTTATATGTTGTAAGCTTTTAGTTGTTGAGAGAGAGAGGAGGGGGAGAGAGGGAGAGAGAGAGAGGAGAGGGAGAGGAGAGAGAGAGGAAGGGGACAGAGGAGGGGGAGAGAGGAAGAGAGATAGAGAGAGGAGGGGGAGAGAGGAAGAGAGAGAGAGGAAGAGAGA